TATATGCGCACAGAGAGATACACAGACAGATATATATATATATATATATATATAAATAAGATCTTTTTATGAATTCCTTATACTTTGGAGACTTACATGTTAAAAAAGATACATAAAAACATTTTTAATCTTTGAAATATATGGAAGATTTGAGAGTTATTTGAACCATAGGCTAAACGGTGGAGAAAACTACTTTGGCGCCGACGGCGCTAGAATACAGAGATCCAGCGTCGATGGCACCAGATTTTGGTCTAATGGTACTGTAGTTATAAAAATGGCCTAGAAACTTCTAATGACAGTTTTTTGGACTGTTTTGGCTAGATTTCTATCTTTATAACCCCCTAAACTAGTCATTTAAAGTATTTTAAATCAGAAAAAGTGGGAGAAAGTTCATTACACTTGATCCTATGGTTTCCAACTCCAAAGGAACTTCAAATTATGAGATTTTCAATAGGAGAAAGTTCATTAGTTTCAATGCACAAAAGTTACATGATAGGGTTCTTATGAAGAAGAGATTGATCATGAAAAGAGAATTTATGAATTGAGGATTCAACACACCAGTAACTATAGTGGAAAATATCTTCATGTAAAGGAGATGGGAAGTACTGTGTTACACAACATCAGCAAAAGTCATTCATGTGGTGAAGGAATTTTATGCAAATCTTCACGGGATTAACCAAGCAGTTGTCTATGTTTGTGGCAGGTGGGCACGATTTACTCCTTCAAGAATCAATGACTTGTTCTTGATTGAGACAATCCCAATTTGTCAGTTTGCCAACTTTGCCCAAACACGAGACAATATGAATAAAGTTTTCCAATTTTTGACAGATGAAGATGTAAATTAGGAGATACGAGATAACGGTAATGTATGTTTTTCTTCTTAATTATCAAATCCTGCATCGAAGTCATGACATTTCCTTATTTCAGCAAAAATTACTCCCTACTATGAAAATCAGTAAAGTGATGAAGGAAAGAGCTATATTAAATTATTGTATTCAAACTGGAAGATCTGTTGATGTGGGTGCTTTAATTATTAAATCCATTCTTGGATTGATTTTAAATGAATCTACTTATGGACTTGGACATCCATCTACAATATTTTTTTTTATGTAGTTAAGCGGAAGTTCCATATGAAAATTAGGAAAAAGTGCTTCTCCCTTGGAAGCACATGGACCTAATGTTAAGTAGTGACTTGTCGATCGCCAAATTAGAAATTTTCGGTTGCTGGAATAAGAATCCCAACGCCCGGTTTAATTTAATTTAATATATATATATATATATATATATATAATTTTGAAAAAGTAGTATTTTAAAATTTAAAAATATAAGACCACACCGATCTCATATCCTTAATAGTCTAAATAAACGAGCCTAAAACCTCAAGCAATGCTTCTATCCCAAAGAATAGACTTAAAGGGTAGACACATTACTTACTGGTAATGCTCGCTTAAATAAATTAAGGAATTTATGACATTCGTTTAAGTCTGTGAAAAACTTTTTTTATGTTGATTGACAAGTTCCCCTATTTAATACAAAAAGTTAAATAGAGTTTATATTAAGCTGGGTTCTTAAAAGTTTCTTATAAGGGAAAACCCCTATAATTAATTACATCTTAGATAACCGAAGTCTCCTAAGAAAACTCTCGATAAAAATCACGAGATATTGTCCTCAAGAATTTCAAGAGAATAGGACTTTTCAAAAGACCAGACAAAGAATTATGAAGGGGGAATGACTCAAATTTAGAATATTTTATTTTGGAATCCAATGGAAGAAGAACTAGGGGATGTCATGGATTCTTAGGAGAACCTCGATGACTTCCCAAGCTATCCTACTGTTTGGATTTAATTTCGGAGAGAAAAAATTAAGTTTTTCATCCTGTCAATTTTATTAATTAGGGCTTGCATTCATGCGAAACGGTCGCACAAATAGCTTGAAAGATGTGAGGATTTAGGTCGTGTTAAAAATAACCTTGGAATCCTAAAACAATTTAGGGTTTAAATTGTATAGCATAGTCATACAAAGGCCTAAAGAAAGAGTTGAAGATTTATGTCGTACTAGGCGGACAACCACTAAATTCTATGGCCTGTGTTGTTTACTTCTAAGGAAGATATGTTGTGGTAGATCCTCATGCTGTTGCAAATTGCTGTTGTAGAAGGCTGCCCACAAAGTTAGCTTAAGGCTTCTTGACGAAGTAGCAGTTCTAAAGTCTAAATGTTTAAGGGTTTAAATGACAAGTTGAAGTTCAATCATTATGGGGGGGGTTAAAGTTGATTAGAGCGACACCGATTAGGATCACACAGCTCCCTCATTCCAGTATCACTATTTTATTTTGAATTTACTTAGATTAAATGAGTTTTGAAACCCATTTAAACCGAGGAGATTCGTTAGCAACCGTGG